CGCTGTATCCTTACTGTGAAATACTGCACGGCTATTAAAAAGGGGAAGAAGAGGGTAGAGGAAAGGGGAGGGGTAGAAGCAAGAGGAGAGAGGCATCAAGACACTCACATGTATTAATGGGAAATAGCCCCACACCTCGCTCACTGTTAGGTGAAAAAAAGCAAGGAGCTGAGGCATTATGCTAACAAATTTATGTACAAGTCGGGGGGAAAAGAACATACAGCATATCTATGGCTTGAAAAGGTTGATTTTACCTCTCCCAAAGACCGATAAGAAGTTATGAATTGTACTTCCCTGGCCCAGTGGGGGCAGTCTGGGCAGCATGGGCAGTAGTAGTAGGGAGGCTGACTGTATGCACTGTTGGACGTGGATCTTTAAATACGTGAATGTATGTTTGTTCAATAACCTCAGTGGTACTTTCAAAAAATAATCAACATAAGATAAAGGAGGAAAACAATAGTAGAATTATTTTTAAGCTTCTTCTCCTTCAGTTAAGGAACATAGATTTAAATTTATACGTTTTGTCTTAATAGGCAGTAAGTGTATATGTAGTCCTGACAAGTATTTTTGTGGAGTTTAGAAGTACTCGTGGTTTTGTATTTATTATTTTAAAATACATTGCCTTTGAACCGAATAAAATATTTCTTTGCTACATACTTTTTTAAGAAACCCTAAAATTAGCTCCCATGTCGAATCCTTTGCTAATTTTGGCTGTGATAGATAGATAGATAGATAGATAGATAGATAGATAGATAGATAGATAGATAATAGAATGATTGCTTGATAGATGATAGGTAGGTTGATGACAAATAGATAGGTGATAGGTAGATAGTAAGCTGCCTCGAGATTTTCAATGTGTTGTATTCAAAATTTAATCTGAAATCTCCTTGTGACTTAAAATGCCTTTGCATAGACACAGTTCATGCAGGTTGTGGTCCAGCCAGCACTTCATGAGTCCCTGGTCCTCACCAGGCCCCTGCACCTTTGTGCTGGATCACCTGCCTTCCCTTGGAGCACTGCTCCATCCCTGTGAAGACTGCCTGTGTCTGCCCTGGTCCTTGTCCCACACTGTCCTCATCACTGTTGCTTCGTAATAAGCTTGAAATGAGAAAGAGTGAGTTTTCCAATTTAGTTCTCTTGTAGGATTGTTTTTACTCTCTAGGTCCCATGTGTTTCTGTATGAACTGTAGGATTAGCATTTCAATTTCTATAAAAAATACAGGTGGGCTTTTGACAGGAATTCCATAGACTCTGTACATCATGAGTATTGTCATCTTAATAAGATTCAGTCTCCCAGTCTATGAACATGGTCATAAACACAATCTCTACCTTACCGTCAGTGTCAACCTGAACACATATCAGTCCCCCACTCAAAGACTACGTGCCCAGTTGGCTCAACTGCTGCTTTTTCCTGGGGATCTAGACATGTCCCTGTTTGGAATGCTATCTAGATCACCTGACTTCTGCATGACCTGTCCTTGATGAGCCACTTTGGTGGTGCCATTCCAGTCTCTACCCGAAAGTTCTGTTTTCTGGAAGAGTCACTTTTGGAATAAATATCATTCAGAATTATTTAGCAGAAGGAGTCCAGTCTGTTTATTATTTGATTAATCTTGTGACATGTTTAACTGAATGTTGCGTGATATTCTCAAGTGTAAGGACTGTTTGCCCCTACTTTGTAGTTGTTCTCCTTTAAATGATGGTGACATAATATGTTATAGCTTTTACTTTTTTGGCTTGGATTGGAATAGTTCGGTTTTTGTAAGTGAGAAAAGCTTTCTATCTCAATATCTTAAAAAGTTTTATGTTGCACAGCATTAGATATGGAAGAGTAGATTTTGACAGCATACAAATACAGTTACCCATGAGATATAGGCAACGTATCTGTTCTCCTTTTTTACATGTATTTAATGTTTTATCAAGTTCCATAGCACTTTTCCTCATTTTAGTCTGTATTTTTAAATGAAAAAAAGCCTCTCAGCCTTTTTAATATTCACTCCGTTCTCTGCTTGCTTCAGTAATAGTCCCTTGATTATTAGGGTTCCACATGCCACTTGGGTACTAAGAGATATTGGTTTATTTTTGTGCGAGATACACCCTTCTCTAAAACAAAATACTCTGTCTTCAAAGTCATCCTTCTTTCACTGATGATTAGGATTCGTTGCTTACATTGTCTTTCATCTAAGTGTGCTTCCTGCATTGAAATGGGTATATTCTGGTCATTTTGATTTCTCCACTTGATCAGTGATTGTCTTTGATGACTCTTAATGCCTGGCTTTTTCTATAAGGAAATAATACAGGAATTGCCAGGCCTAATAAACTGCTAGTTAGGAATTGTAATGGCTTTGTTTTCTCTCCGCAGTGTCAGTGAGCAAGGGTGAGTCTAGTAGGTGGAACACATGGCAGGTCTGCAGAGTCAGGGGCAGACTCTGGAGCAGTTCTCCCAGCTGGTGGGAACTCCAGCTGTGGTCCTCTTTGTCACAGAAGCGGATCTTTCTGCATCCCTGTCAGATATTTTCCTGTTACTCTGTCAACAAAGGGCAGAGCTGTTATTCCAAGAATATCTATACATTCAGGGGACTCTACCACCTGCCATTTTCTGGAGTGTTCTGGTACCTTTGCTCTGTGAGTGCTGTAAGTAAGGAGGGCTGGGCTGCACTAAGAAGCACTGGCCTTGGGGACAGAAAACCTGACCAGATCCGACTCCGCCAAGTTCTACCCCATGGCCTCCACAGTCCGCTTATCCCAAGTCAGGCCGTCCTCTGTATGACCATGCCAGGTCTCTACCCGGGGGACAGCTCCAAGGTGGAAGGCCACTGGAGGCACAGGAGCTGACATTAGGTGCTTACTATTCGTCCTCCCTGGTACGATGGTTATTAATTAACAATAGGTATTTATATGAAAAGCAAGCTTGGTGATCCAGTGTGACAAGAAGGAGAGGCTGTGTTTGCATATGGTCGCTAACTGTCTTACATTAGTCCAGGTCAGCGATTTTCCACCGTTGTGTGCAGTAATTTTTACATGCAGTGCCTGACTAGTTAGGGGCACTGACCTCTTTTCCCTTAAATTGTCAAATAAAAAATGACAACAGTCAACACAACAATAGCCATCTGATGTGAATGAATCATAATTATTCCTATTTTTATTTTGGTCAGATTGGCAAAAAAGTTTTTTTTTCTTGGTATGCCACGGAAATTTAGTAGTTAGTTTTTGTGTGCATGGGATGAAAAGTGTTGAAAATCTTTGGTCTGAGTTCTAAGAGCCCTTGTCAGAGGCAGGCTGGGAACAGCTGAGAAGGTCTCTGTTGTTCCAGTTCCTCCTCCTCTACCTTCTCTTTCATGTATGTTGTTGTTTTAAATTTATAAAAAATATAAATACTAACATATAAATCATTAAAGTCTATTTGGAAAATAAAGAGAAGAGGGCATTGCTGCGTAGCTGCATGAATATCTTGGTGTGTTTCTAGTTTAAACACAGGGATTTGTCTGAATTACTCTTTCTGACCGTACGTAGTTGGGTACATACATTTGATGGCAGACCCCGCCTGTGGACGGGCAGGAGGTGGCAGACTCCTTTCCAAAGGAGCATCTCTTGGATCCAGTATGGGACGTTCCTGTGAAACAGGATACCCCTTAGAGACAGGTACTGGGCAGGAGGCAGGTACTATCCCTGTCCCCTCCTCTGTGGAATTCTGTTCCTAGTGCCATATTCATGAGCTTGGCCTTGCTGAGGTGATATTCTCCATACTCCTCTTGTCATCTAGGAATGGGCACCTGGCTCTCACGTCCTGTGCAGCCTTTACATGTGAGTGATGGCGTAGTTACTGTGAAATGTTGGGTTACGGCCATTTTTGCATCCTTCACCAGTGTTTCCCGGGTGCACACACTGAAAAGTGACTGTTACACACAAATGCTACCACTGAGCAGAGCTGAGGTGAGGGGCGCTCCATGCAGGTACTTTCCAGAGCCTTCTGTGACATGGGACCTGATGGCTACCACCGTGTCCCCACCTCGTTCAGCCGTGCAAGCTTTTCTGTAAGCACGTCCATCCTGCTGGGTTTTGTTCCTCCAAAGGGCCTCAGGAAGTGCCCATAAGCAGACTGCTCGATTTTCCTCTGGCATTTTTTGCTCTGTAGGAAATCTGAGGCTGGCCTGATTTTTTGTTTGTTTTTTTCTGGTTAAATTTGAATGGGATTCTTTTTGTTACTCATCTAACAGTGACAAGGACAAAAGAAAGCAGCAAAGCAGCAGTGCCTGTGTTCAGAGGGGTCTGGGTGTGCAGTCCTGTTGCAGAGATGGGGAGGGAGGAGCAGGCGGGACCTGGGCTTTGCACAGCAGGTCCCCCACCTCTGGTCAGGTCAGGCCTTGCGTCTTGGAATCTGCAAGAACACTGGGCGAGGAGCTGACTCCTGTCTTCAGGTCAGCTGGGTGCAGAGTTGTCATTTTCAGTCAGAATCTGCACAGTACAAGGGAACTCGGTGGCACTTAACGTGTTGCCCACATGGGGGTTGGGGGCGTTTCTAGCTGCTCTCCTAGCTGTAAACTGTTTCCTAGCCTTTCTGGCAGGCACTTACACAACAGGACTTAAAGCCAGAGCTGCTTTATTTCCTTGAAGCTGCAGATTCATGGAGGTGACGGTGTCGTCTCTCATGCTGGTCCTCAGTGTGAAGGGCGTGCTCTCGGGGTAAAAGAAATGCCTTTACTGCCCTCACAGGATACGAGAATAATTTGATATTAAAATGAAAGGACCTGGCGCTTTGTACTTTCAGTTCTGCATAGAATGAATCTTGAAGGTGAAAGACCTACTCAGAAATGAGCACCAGGGTGACAAGAACTACGGACCTCATAAGAGGAGTGTTTGTACAAGGTAGCACTAGTACAGTAGTGAGAAAGGTGCCCAACACATTGCAGTCCTTTGTGTTAGCTTATGCCAGTGTTTGTGGTCTGATGTCATCTATTGGGCCTTAATTCGTTTCCTTTTCTTTCTTACTTCCTTGGTAGGTCAAACTGTGCTGAAAATATCCGCAAACACATTTTGCATACTGGCAAACACGAGGGGGTCAAGATGTACAACTGTCCCAAGTGTGACTACGGCACAAATGTCCCTGTGGAGTTCCGGAACCACCTGAAGGAACAGCACCCTGACATCGAGAACCCTGACCTGGCTTACTTGCATGCAGGTAAGGGCTGCAAGTCTTTCATATGTGCGGTTTTTAAGAGCACTTCATTTTATTCATCACAGTAGTTATGTTGCAATTTGTCCATTACGGCCATTTACTTTAATGTCTTAGAGTTCGTGACAGTATCTGCTCCAAGACTTACAACAGAGGACATTTCGGTCTTAACCCACTCAACTAGAAAACAGTCTAAATATGATAGAGTAATCATCCAAGGACAACAAAGTTAATAATAGCAAATATTCAAAACAGTTGAACTGAAATTATAGTTGTTTGCTCTTCATATTTTGACTAATTGATAAAATTTTAAATTTATTTTCACAAACTATTTGTGATTGAAAGTATTATGCCCGATTGCTTTGGACCACGGTTTTCCAGTGAATACCTGGAAAGGAAGAGCATCTGACCAAGGAGAGAGTGGAACAGCAAGGGTGGGGGGACATAGTGCCTCGTTCCCAGGAAGTTAGGAGGGCTCTGATGCCCAGGACATGTTGGTGATGGCAAAGGCTGCTCCATTCTCCTAGCCTCGTTGGATCACATCAGGTACCCTGGAAGGATCTGACATGTAGCACCAGCTTATGGTTTAATTAACAGCATGCCTGAGTTGGAATCTTACTGTGCAGAAGTACAAAGTGATGGGTATGAATGTGGGCAAGTATCTCAGGAAGTTCTGTGTTTATATCATATCCATGGGTACAGGGATGTTTTAGGCAGTGGCTTTGGGATCAGTTAGAGCTGCTTTTAGCGTCTGTTTTCTTTCTTATTTGCTGTGTGACCACAGATAAGCTGATCTCATCATACCTGAGATTTCTCATGTGTAAATCCATGTGGTAGTATCTGTTTAAAGCAGTGATTGCCAACCTTTCGGACCTCACGGACCACCAGTGGCCCGCAGACTGCCGGTTGGCAACCGCTGGTTTAAAGGATCATTGTGAATTTAAGAAGGTAATGGCTGTGAAGCTATGAGGCTCTCAGCACAGTACCATCTATGCCTGGCATGACTAGGGATCCTGGGTGTGGGTGATGCTGTGAATGTGACAACAGTGTCTGAAAGACATGGGACAATCCACCCACAATGCAACACTTGGTTTGCAAATATGTAAACACTGCTCATATACTCTCTACAATAAAAGAAACAGAACTTGGTGGTAATTTGAATTAGCAGAATATCTATACATTGGACAATGTCTGCATATAATATTATTGTAGTTTTCTGCTGATGTCTTATTTCCAGTGTATTTGCTTATGCCCACATGATTGACTTTTTAAAGTATTAGTAGAATTTTTGATTTAGTAATCTCTGTTGTATCCAGGTATAGTTTTGAAAAAGAAAAACAGGTCATTTGTCTGCATTTTGGTGATGTTACTGAAGAGGTTTTGAACTGCACTGATGAAGTGAAATTGAAGCATCTTCTGCCATCAGTCCCTGTGGGTTCTGCATTAATATGAGTGCCTGACAGCAGATTCCAGAACTGCTGCGTCTGAAAGGGCCAAGCAGAGTCAGCTCAGGTTGTGGTTGTCTGCAGTGCTGTTTCAAGTCCTATCTGTGCCTCTTCTCAAGGTGCAGCTGATCTGTGCTATCTCTCTCATCCGTGGCTCCAATTAGACATGAAAAGTGGGTTATTCCCCTAAAGTAAAGTATCTCTAACTTTTAAATGAAGGAGACACCAGAGAAAGGGGGGGAAGCTGCCTGGGGAAAAACATTCCCTTTGCCGTCCTGCACCAAGGGAGACTGCTGTGCAGAATGAAAAAATGACCCCCCTTTCCTTGTATGTGTGGGATCCTCGGGTGTATACCCTACTTTTCTGTTGATATTTTTATAATTCTGTGAAGAATGTTCTTCCGTGTAAGTCATAGTAGCAGTCCTCAGTATTTTCACAAAACGAAATCTATAGGTACATATAGGTGTCAACTGTGTATTCCTTCTTCTAGGCAAAATATTGCTCTTCAGTAATTGTTTTGCTTTGGTTAAGAGAAAACTTTAAACAGGTAAATTTTTTAGATTGACTGAGTCTTTCTTCAGCCTTACAACTACATCATTTGTAATACGTTTAAGAATGTGTGAAATGAGCCTTCCTCCGTCTCTAAGCATTGTGCCTAAGAAAGTTTTCTTGAGAATTCCAAAGGACAGACTCTGAGTTGTGCCTGGGCGGCTCAGAGGTTTTCTGCTGGGGGAGTAAGCTCCCTGCTTGTGGACAGAGTCTCCTGGAAGACTCAGGCGTGGCCTGGCCACTTTCCGAGAGTACGACACCAGTCAGGACTGAAGGTGATTGAGGTATTTCAGGGTTTTCTCTGAGAAGCCTGGACTTTAACTGTAGTAAAGGTTAACATCTTTTCTAAAGGTGATGATCAAGTTTTGTTCTCTTTTCAGAGGAAATTAAGCATTAAGTGAAGACATGGTATTTCCCCAAATTTCTTGTATTTTTCTGCTGTCATAGTTTTTAAAAAAACATCTAAATTATATGATTTTCATCAGTTCTTACATAGTAAGACTTAATCATTTAAAATATTCTTTAAATTATTACCTGAACAATGCTATATAGCAGATGAATCTGTCATACTCTCTTCACAAATTGGGATTTTCATATTCTCTAAGATAAGCAATTTTTTAATTCTTTAGAACATATTATTTAACTGCATTTAACCCTCTTCCATGGCATTTTCCTCTTACCCACTTATGAGAATAAGAATGGGAAAGTTTGAGTCTTATATCTAAACTCCAAATCCCTTTTCTTTCTAATGGTAACTAATTCAGAACCATTTAAACTGTACTTAACTGATTCCTTAATTCTCTCCAAATGTCTTACTTCATATTCAGGCAGATGAAATTTCATCTTCCACCTCTGAGCCCATTTGCTTAATTTCACAGTTAGGATGAAGCAGCTGCACCCTTTGTCTCTTCACCACCCCCTTGGTTCAGCGGGATATTCAGATTTCCTAAAATAAATGATTTTCTCCACCATTAATTAAAATCATTAGTCTTCTGATACATAGACCTTGGAGATGTAGTCTTCTCCCCAATTCCCAGGCCCTCTATTTTTAACCCTGTTACTTTCATCCCCTTTTGTTAGTTGGATGCTCTGACACATGTCATGGCGTTTTGTATAAAATTCGTTTTGTGGAAAGGTCCAAAAATCCCAGAAAATCCTGACAGTTTCTCATTGGTTCTCCCTTACCTAAACCAATTATTACTTCAACCTAAAAAGGAAGGAAATTTTTTCTGACAGAGCCTTTGGTGAATCTGTGCTGACTCACTCCTATTAATGTGTACCTCCCCAGATGTATCATTAAGCTCATCCATAACTATCATCTCAAATTTTCTTCCTAATATAGATGTTAGACTTGCAGTCTATAATTTTCAGCCTCTCCCTGCTTGCTTTTTCACCTTCAGACTGGATCCCTTGTTTTCCAGTCTCTGATACTTACCCACTAACAAAAGACTTCCTAAAATAATTAACAATTCAACAATTGGATTCTTTAACCTCAGTCACTATCCATGGGTTAATTTACTATCTTTCTAATGGCTGCTAAATGTCTTTGTTCCTTTCAAACTCCTGTCTAAATCTTCTCTCTCCTCTGTAAGGCTCTGTCCTCTGTGTCCAGAATGACAAAGCCCATTGGGTATTTTGGTAACTGGCTTTCTCTTTGAGTCTTTCTCACTCTCACTCCTGTTGGAGTTCCTAAGTTTAGAACTATCTTACATTCCTTGAGGTCAGTGGGTGAGCAATGTCAAGATTATCATCAACCACTTTTTCAGTAATATAATTGCTCTCTAAGACTATCATCTCATTGGTGATGTTTATTGACACTGTTTACTGGTAAGTTTAGCAGACCCTCTGTATTCAGCACCACCTGTCTTTTGTTGAATTATTACTGAAATCAGTTTTTTAAAACCTAATTATACATTATTGTTTTTTTAAAAAAATACTTTTATTGATTTCAGAGAAGAAAGGAGAGGGAAAGAGAGATAGAAACATCAATGATGAGTGAAAATCTTTGATCGGCTGCCTCCTGCACGCCTCCTACTGGGAATCAAGCCCACAACCCGGGCATGTGCCCTTGACCAGAATCGAACCCAGGATCCTTCAGTCCCCAGGCTGATGCTCTATTCACTGAGCCAAACTGGCTAGGGCTAATTATACATTCTTAAATATTTTAAAATGTCATCTGCCTATGAATACATGTTTTTTTCTAACTTTATTGTGTCTGAAAGCTACCTTTATCTGCTTGACACTGTGGAGCAGGGGTAAGGAAATATTTGCCACCCTGTGTCTATCTGGCCCACCCTCTGCCACTGCCTTCCCAGGGCCCAAAGGCCATCCTATTTGAATCTCTGTAGGGTGTCCTGTTTTAGGTGGTTAGTGTGTGTGTGGTACTGAAGAGTTCTATTATTTTACAGTCATGTTTTGCCTTTTGAATTACAAAGAATGAAAGAGAAAGGGTAATAATTGTGTCTGTGCCAAACTTTTTTGCTAGGCCATTAAATCTTCCAAACATGTCTTTGTTAGGTGCTATTCTGATATTATTTCATGATTTTAGAAAGTAGGGCTTGAAGAGGTTACCTTGCCTGAGGGGGATACATAACTGCATTATGGCCCATTGAAGTTCATGCCTGTTTGTCTCCGAGAGTTTTCCAATTGCATAATCCTGCATATGCATGGGCTTAGAAAAGAGAGCAAACAGCACCTGTAGCTAATGAGATTCTTATCATGGAAGCCTTAACATTATGGAGTTTTAAGATTTTAAATAATCTGTAAACATGTACTAGGAAGTAGCAGACATGTATGATTGAACAAAACACTAGGACAATTGTTTTCACAGCTGTACTGCTGCTAGTGCAGAGCCTGGTGAATGGCCGGACAGTGAACTAGGTGGTTTAGTGTCCTGAGATTATTGCTGTTGAGATATGTGACTTTAAGCAAGTCACTCAACCATTCTGTGACTGCATTCTCAATTGCAAAATGAATAACTGTGTTTAGCCTTTCTTTTGAATATGAGGTTCA